CGCTTCGATAAAGTCACGCAGGCGCTGTGGGCTGCTGCGCTCAGTGTTGTGCTGGCAGCGTGGCGGCCGTGGTCGGCTCCGATCAAGCAGGCAGTGGCGGATGGTAGTGTACCTCTGGAGGACGAGATGATCATGTTCGGGTATCGCGCGTTCGTGGCGATCTGTGTCACCCAGCCGCTGTGGCCCTTGAGCGTGCCCTTGAGCTGCATCTGCTCCGTCATCGTGGCCATGCCCCGGCTCCCTGAAACACCACCTGAAATGCATTAGCCGCCAGCCGGAACACGTACGTACGCACACGCAATGCGCCGCCGCGCTCCAACCAAGCCAGTGCACCAATCCACAGCCAAATATCCAGCGCCGAACCGCCGCACAACTCCAGCACCTCACAGGACAGTGCAGCGTAGAATGCAACCCCCTCGAAATTTATATCAATAACGATCAACTCTCCTCTCCGCCCCACCACGCAATCCGTACACACACGCACAGACACGCACACACATCCCAGATGTACTGTAGTTCGCACGCAGTCGGCCAGGATCGCAAGTGGCTTTAGCAGCACAGCGACTGAAAGAAAGCAGCCCGCGCCGTGTTGCGTTGCGAGCGCGCCAATCCAGAACTGCCAGACGTCGCGTCGGTTCGGCTCGGAGGGCGTCACACAGCAATCATGGGGGATTTTTCATCGTGATGACGGCGAGTAAGGTTACCGCATAGTGAGTGGCGGACATTCGATGTGACAGGTGGGCAGGGGGAGTGGTTTGCTGCGGGTTTCGTCCGCAAGGGTTCGAGGCAAAGGGAAGAGAGGGGCTGGGAAGGTTACGTTTAATGGTTACGTGATGTAGATCCTTTGTCGGTTAACTAGGTCACATATATTTTAGTTGGAGGAGGGGGAGGGGGCGGTGGGTGGGAAGAAGAAAGTGTGCTGCTAATTTTTGCCACGGATACTCGGAATAGAGAAAGACTAATTGCTTGCTTCCAAAGTGCACTTATAGTAGGGGTGGAGAGGAGCTCAGACGTTGCTTTGCGAGGAGGATTTCAGAACACGATAGAGAAGAAAGGGAGCGAGGATACAAGTCAATAGCTCCAGTTCGCTGCCGAACACGATACATCGGAATTATCGTGTGGGATTTCTGCGTAAATCTAGTCGAACTTATTCGCTTTCAACTTCACCTAAGCATGAGCTTCATAAATACGGAAGTCCCTTACTGATGAGGGGTCTTTATAAGACAG